TGGACGAACTGCGATGTTTGGTGCGATTTTTAATGCAATGTTGGATGGATCATAATGAACTATAGGAAAAATGAGAATTGATGTTGCAAGTCAAAAAATAAGCAACCTTAAAGGAGATCTCTTACATGTTTGGCCTGCAACTTTTATCGGAGCACCGTGTGACACACCATTGTTTGGAGCTTCGAAACAGTCTTGAAGCAGTGAGACAACGGCTTCGTGTTCTTCATTGGCCATATCAACAATGTATACGTTTTCGTTGTCCCAACGAAATTTGTATCCACTTGATTCGTTATGCTCAAGAAAAGTGTTATAATTTTTCACTGAAACATTCGACCCAATCTGAAAGGGCAAACTAGACTGTACATGTCAACATTGAGCAGATATTGAGGAAACATACGTGGGGCATACCCACTTTTTTTCTTCTAAGGAAAATTTTGGTAACTTGGGATAGTTATGGACTGTTTTATTTGCTTTGTTTACGATTGATTGCCAAGCATCCATTTTGAAAGAGTAGAAAGTACATAATAATGAACAGATTAATAAAAACTTTTTTTTATCATTACATCATTTGACGCAATTAAAAGGTCATGTGCTATCATAAAAATAATCGAAACATTATTTTTCCCGGATAAGTCTTGCGAATAGATCGTGCCGACGCGAAAGAATAAATCAGTTCGAGGGTTTTTCTTTACAAAAACCGTCACGATCAGAGTCATGTGATTTTCAATAAACTTTTGAACATATCCGTATCTTGTAAAACAATGTCAAACACTCAATCCAAAATCGATTCATTGAAGCAATTGAATTCTAAGTTCGTGACTGAGATTGCTGGACTTAGAAAGGAGAATGCCGAGATTCCCGAGCTTAGAAAGAAGGTTACTGAAGTTGAAGCTGAAAACGTGAAGTTAAGACAGGTCATAGAAGAGAGCATTGAGCTTAAAACCAGGTTTGAAGTGTTATAGAAAAAAATAAAACGAATACTGCCAAGCCCACTGCCGAGAATACTGAGCTTAAAGATAGAGTCATGAAATTGGAACAGGTCATTACTAATATACCAAAAGCATCTTCTACAAAGATATTCCGCGACCTATCGACTCACAGAGTGAGGATACTAACATTCCTGAAGAAACGATTATTCCTGATCCCTCACCTGAAATAGAACATAGCCCGATAAAATCCGACTCTTTAACGGAACTTGAAGAATCGGAGATTCGATGCTCTGCATCACCCTCTGCT